GGGGGTCCCTAAAAAAACACAGCAATGAAAACTGGGCCACTGTGCTTGCAACTTAAAAATCACAACTTAAAAGTCGCTGCCGCTTTCCTCGATTAAGTGTCCAGGGTGCCCGCCTGGAACTGCCCATCAGGGTGTGAGCCCCCCCTTTGCGAGCCCAAGAGGGTGTCATGGGGAGTTTTCTTACTTGACACCTCTGATTTTTAACAAATGGACCTCAGCTGCTCCAGGAAATAAAACGGTGGCTTTTAAGGTGGTTTTAAAACCACTCAGAGCTCTTGGGGTCAGCCAGCTAAGACCTTTCTCTGCCTCGCTCACCTTGGAGAATCGCATTTCCCAGGCTCTGAGTTCCTTTCTGTAGAACAGGGGGCCGGCCCGGGCTATCCATGTCCCAGGGCCCTTCTTGCTCTAAAACCCTACAATTCTTTGCCTTTCGACAGAACGGAGTCACAGTTTCCTGGAGGCCGTCCGTGGAGTTTCCAGGGAACCTGTAAGTGCTCTCCCTGGTCAAGGCCGGCCGGCCACCACACCCCTCCTGGTGGCCCTGGGCCTTTCCTCCCCAGAGACTCCAGCCCACTCAGCACCCTGCCGTCGGCTCACCACTTCTCTTCCAGCAAAGCCTCTGCTTCTAACTAAGTCACTTCCAGCAAGCTGCGTCCTTGACAGAGTTTGCTGTCCGTTGCTGGAGGCCTGAGGGGCGGGGGCTGCACAGCTCTGGCCCCTTCTGGGCAAGGCCGTCCCCCCAGCAGGGATGGGCACAGGCCTGCCGGGCGGCCCCAGGGTAGACGAGTCCGATGGAGGATGTCCTGGGTCTGATCCCTCTTTGTGCTGCAGGTACCGGGGAGAAGGCGTTGTGGACGGAACGGCAAAGGCCGTGTGGGAGCTGGTGAAGCCGCTGCCTGGGAGCCTTCGAGAGAAGTGGGACCAGAACGTGGCCAGTTTTGAGATCGTCCAGAGCATCACCGACGTGAGTCCCTCCAGACGCGGTCAGCCCCGCACAGCAGCCTGGCCCTGGCCCCTCTGGAGGGCGTTTGTGACACCTTCTAGCAAGGGGGTGCCTGCCGAGGCCTGGTGCCCGGCCAGCAGACTGTGGGCGCCTGCAGCAGAGACGTCCAGCCCGGGTCCAGGTGCAGGCAGGGAAGGGTGACCCCGAGAAGAGGGGGAGGGGCCCGGAGCAGAGCTGAGAGCTGTGCAAGGTGACCTGGCTCCGGGGTAGGAAGAAGGGCCTGGACTTGACCCTCTGGCCCGAGTTTGAACCATGCCCCTCGATGGGGTCAAGGGTCAGGATTCCCTACCAGCGTCGGGCTCTGCCAGGTGGCAGCTCCTAGGTGACAGTTTCTCTGCTGGTGAAACGTGCGTCACACAGGCTGACGCAACGCTGGCGAGAACTTTCTGGAACGTTCCATCTCGCTGTTCAGTGGTGGCCACCAGCCCTGTGTGGCCAGAGCATCTGAAAGGTGCCTCCTTTGAGGAGGAGGGCTGTTGGTCTTCATTTCCATAGCTGCCGATGTAAATTTAAGTAGCCACGTGGACCGACAGGAACCGTGTTCCACAGGGAGGTCGAGGCGGTCCTGTCCCGGACCCTGTAAGGGTCAGAACCCACCTCGTTTTGATGACAGAACTTAAGGGGGAGAAGTCACAGCCAAAACCAGTAAGAAAGTTCCTTGGGGAAATGCCTGCGAACCCGTCTGATTTGAATGGTGTCTTCATTTTGAAGTCTTTGATCTCGGCACCCTCTTGGGTGTTTACGCAGATGGAACGAAACAGGATATCGCAATTTTATTTTTACTTTTTATTGATTGCAGAGAAAGGAAAGGAGAGGGAGAGAGAGAGAAACATCAGTGATGAGAGTCATTGATCGGCTGCCTCCTGCACGCCCCCTGCTGGGGACCGAGGAGCCTGCAGCCCGGGCATGAGCCCTGACCCGGAATGGAACTGCAGCCCCCTGGCTCCTAGGCCGATGCTCAACAGCTGAGCCACGCCGGCCGGGCTGGGCATCACTCTTAGACGCACCTGAGGAGCACAGAGTGCTATTACCAGCATCCGCTTCAGCGAATCCTCCTCAGTCAGAAATGCTACATTGTTTCTCACCTGGAGCTCAGATTTCGATTCCAAGTAGCCTACAGAATGTTACCATCACCCTGCCTCATGAGGCTGAAGAAATCTAGGCTGAGGGGTGGTTGTAATTCCTTGAAACAATGATGTTGAGCAGCTGGGCTCCCCTTGGCTTTGGCAGACCCTGTGCGTAACCAGGACCGCCACCCCCTCGGCCGCCATGAAGCTCATTTCTCCCAGGGACTTTGTGGACCTGGTGCTGGTCAAGACGTACGAGGATGGGACCATCAGCTCCAACGGTGAGTGACAGCCGGCCAGGTGCCGCAGGCCTCCCGGGGACACTGGGCTCTTCTGCTCTGCACCCAATTCCATAAGGAAGCCGCCCACCTGGGCCCCTTTCTCTGTGCAACTCGCCCTGTCAGGTCGGGGGACTCTGTGCCACATGGTTGGAGGTGGGATGGTCCATGGGCTTGTCATTTCACTTTTAAGTCACAGGGTTATTTGCTGAGGCTTGTGTTGCTCCCACGTTTGAGGGTTGGTTTAGCTTCACAGAACCTTGGGGGCAGTGGCTCCCTGAGCCCACAGGGGACCTGCCTGCCTCCAAACCCCCGGTCACTCCCCACCCCACGGCTGGCTGAGATTAGAGAGGGTGCCTCCTCCTCCTGCCCCCAGGTGGCACATTCTGGAGGGTCCTCTTCTCTGCTTTTCTTGCTGGGTTGGGGAATCTGTGTGTGAAGGGACATTGGGGTGGGGGCAGCAGGGCACAGGGTCCCCTTGCTGTTTCCCCAGGCTCCAGGTGGTGGGGTGCAGCACTGCGGGTGCTGGGGGGCATGTCAGCACCTCACTGAAGTTGTGGCTCACCAACCACTTGCTCTCTCTTCCAGCTGCCAACCTGGAGCATCCGTTGTGCCCCCCGAAACCGGGTTTTGTGAGAGGACTGAACCATCCCTGTGGCTGCTTCTGCGAGCCTGTGCCAGGGTGAGGATAGTCCCTCGGGCTGAGTGACAGGCCAGGAGGGGATAGTGGCTCCCGAGTGGAGTTCTCAGTGGGCACAGGGATTGCAGAGCCTCGTAGCTCTCAGGGTTCCCGACGGCTTTTGTCCATGTGGATTATATCCATCAACCTTTACTACGTTTGAAATTAAGAATGGGGAATTTTAAGCATATTTTTTAAATAACATATTTATTAGATAGTTACAAATGTATTTATGAAAAATAACTATTTCTGAAATGGAAGGAGTGGCATTGTTTTACATTTTGCCAGTCTCCTCAGTGTCCGGCGTGAGCAAAAGGAGCTCCTATCTGGGTTACGCTCTGTGCTGTGAGACCGCCTGTCACTCGGCCTGGGCGGGAGGTGGGGCTGCCCCCTGCTTGCCCAGCATGACCCTGGACATCTGCCCCAAGAGCACAGTCTCCACCCTGCGTACAGCAGGTGCCCAGGGACCCGTCACCGTCCTGGCCACCGCTCCCGGGCTAGCTGCTCGCTCCTGGCCCGTCCCACGCTCGGCCTGTCCCTCTGCAGACCCACAGCCCAGCTCTTCTGTTGCCTCACAGGGAGCCCAGCAAGACCAAGGTGGTCACCTTCTTCCAGACGGACCTGAGTGGCCTCCTCCCGCAGAGTGTGGTGGATGCCTTCTTCCCCCGCAGCATGGCCGGGTTCTACGCCAGCCTTCAGAGAGCAGTGAGGTCAGTGCCGCCCCGCCTGCGTGCCACCTGCCGCCCCGCTGGCTTGCGTGCCCCCTGCTGGCCCCACCTGGCCTCGGGCCCTCTGCAACCACAGCAGCTCTGCACGTCTTGTGCGATAGACTATGTTTTCCACAAACAGCTTCAGTAATACCTCCCTCCCTTTCCCCCCCGGACAGGCTTGTGCCAGCTCCGACTGAGGGCACAGAGGCTGCGGTGCCGTCCCAGTGACGAGGCGCACGGGCCGCCCAGCGCTGGCACTGCCGGGACGCGCGCCCTTGGCACCCAGCACTCTCCCCAGGCCCCAGGGAGAGGCCCTGCGAGTGTCAGCCGCCAGCGGTGGGAGCGATGTCCCGCGGACACGTGGTCCAGCCGGTGCCCGGGGGGGGGACTGAGTTGACCCCCTGAGCCCTGCCATGCTGCGGATTCCTGACAGACAAGTGGGGCTGTGTGGGGTGGATCGTCTCATGGTTACAACACAGAAAGTCTGCAAAGCAGGACACGGATTTCTCCTCAGGTTGCAATACACCCTCTGCTTTATTCACGGCACCGCGGTGGTGGCCTTGGGCTCTCCGCACATCGTCTCTAGTCTGTGTCAGCCACCCCGCGGCGACTCTGTCCTCCCCTTGGGACAGCCCTCTTGCTGGATGCTGTCCCAAAAGATCTGAACCTGGGCAGTAGCCCTGGCGGGGAGTTCGCAGTGACCCTGAGAATCTGTGTGCTGTTGGCTCTGGCGTCTGAGCTCTGCCTACGGGTTTCCAGCCGCTGCGGTCCCCTGGGACTGCGGGCCCTTCCTCCTGACGAGAACAGCGACCGGTCCGTCAGGCAGCGCCTTGATGATGCTCCAGGCTTCGAACCGCGTGAGGCCCTGCACGGCCGTGCCGGCCACGTGCAGGATTTCGTCTCCTGGCTGGACTGTCTCAGTCTGTCCCGGGGCTGCCCCTGGGGGCGGGAGAAGGAGACAGTGTGTTCAGGTGACGGAACAGGGAAAGGTACCTCCTTCTGCCACTGGGGAGGAAAGACAGGGCCGGATGCACAGCACACCTTTGAAAATCCGGTTGACGGTGAGAGGCTTGTCCCCTTGCAGGGAGCCCCTCCCTCCTTCCAGGCTGAAGCCCAGCCCTGCAGAGGTTTTCTCAAGCGTCAGCGTGCAGACGGCGGCCTCTGCTGCTGAGGAAGACACAGGCGTTAGAGATGCTCCCCTCCCGTGGCCTCGGCGAGCCTGGGAGAGCTGCCTGCTGACCCTGAGCGTGGCTGGGCCGACGTGCACCTCGGGCAGCACGCGGGGCCGGACACAAGTGACTGAGCAGCCCCAGCAGGACTGGCCCCATGGGGCGGAGGGTGACGTGGCCCCCGAGGCTCCCACCACACCGAGCTGGCAGAGCTTACCCAAGTCTATGGAGACGTCACTGGCCACCGAGGCTGAGGCTGCAGAGTCCGTGGAGGAGTTCAGGTCGGGCGTTGCCTCCGGCGCCAGCTTCCTGGTGACGATCACGGCTTGCCGGGCGTCCCGAGCTTGGCGAAGGATGGCCAGCGCTTCGCTGTGGGTGGCCCCTTTGAGAGATTTGCCGTTGATGGAGAGAACCTCGTTGCCCTTCTGAATAGTCCCTTCCTGGGAGGCCAGTCCGTTGGGAAATACTCTGTGAACCTAAGAAAACCAAAGGGAGTTCGGGACTCAGAAATCACCTGCGTCCGATGGAGATTCTTGCTGGAGGGTTCTTAGGCCAAAGAAAGTGAAACTGACAGTGTCCTGAATACAGGCCAGCATCCCCTCCTCCACTCAGAGCAGAGGCCACTGGTGGTAGTGGACAGAGTGGCCCCAAGTCCTTTCCTACACAGCGTCTTGGACTCCGTGGTCATAGCTGCTCTACATCAGTGATTCCCAGGCAGCGTCCTCTCCAGCGTGGCCCTCGGCCAGCCCCAGAGGAGCCTCACACCGTCCAGGCTAACATCCTGCCCTCGAGTGGGCAAAACCACCTTCCAGGACCTGCCTTCCCAAGGCCCTTCCTCCCAGGTCCACAGTCCTGGCTGCACAGCCCTCCCTGAAGGCCCCGTGGTCACAGTCAGTCTCTCCACGTGGTCAGTGCTCACAGCTCATGAGAAATTCTGATTCAGCAGCTCTGAGTGAGGCAACACACCTGGGACTTGGCTTCAAGCTCCACACGGACTCAGATGTCACGTCGCTTACCGTGTACAGAGACTTTTGTTAAGTGAAGGATCGTGATGGGGGGACGACAGGGTCACCTGAGTGACGGTGACTGCTCCTGCAAAGGGTGGGTGCTGCCCTGGGCACCCGCCCGCAGCNAGGCAGGGTCACATGAGTGACGGTGACTGCTCCTGCAAAGGGTGGGTGCTGCCCTGGGCACCCGCCCGCAGCCCGGCACCACACGCTCCTCCCGTCCCCAGCTCAGAGCCCCTTCCTGGCCGGTGGCCTCCGTCCCAGGGCCCTGTCGCTGGCCACTCACCGTGATCACTTTGCTCTCCAGATCCGAGCCCCCTGCCAGGCTGAAGCCGAGGCCAGCACCCTCCTCCTTGTGCAGGACGGTGACCTGGGTGCTGTCCAGTTGCTGCAGGAGGAAATAAACAGTGAAAAGCGTTTCCATGCAGCAGTGAGAACAGTTTAACAGCTGTTAACTCAGGCTGATTCGGTCTCAGACCCAGCTCGTCTGCCCTGGTCACATCGCCTCCCCTCCCCGGTGTCATCGCCCACTGAGGGAGGACTGTGCTTTCGGAGTCGTGGGGCACTTAGAAGAAAAGTGCCACCGGATAGGTCTCTTCCTCTCAGCCCCCAGCCTCACCCACAAGCCTATGACCAGGAGCAGGTGCCACTAAGTCTGCTGGGGACCCCCCCATGTTGGGTCACGCAGCTCTGCCATTTCAGTGTGGGACTTGGGGTCGGCAAAGCTGGCGTCAGAGCTGTTCTGTGGAAGCTGCTGTCCCTTCTCACCCCAGCCGAGTTCCCACCTCGGAACACATGTGGGTGTGCACACACACACACCTGCTCACACACACACCTGCTCACACACACACCTGCTCACACACACACCTGCTCACACACACCTGCTCACACACACACACACACCTGCTCACACACACACCTGCTCACACACACACACCCGCTCACACACACACACGAGCCCACCCAGGCTCACCTCACATACCAGCCTGCATGTGGCCCCTCCCGGAGCCAGGAGCCAGGAGCCAGGACAGCCCCCTACAGTGTTCTCGGTCCGGGGTCTCACATGGGGATCACTTAAATGAGCAGGATGGACAGAGGTGACAGGAGTGGAGACCNGCCAGGACAGCCCCCTACAGCGTTCTCGGTCCGGGGTCTCACATGGGGATCACTTAAATGAGCAGGATGGACAGAGGTGACAGGAGTGGAGACCCAGCGAGCACAGCAGCTCAGAAGGACCCGCCTACGTAGGAAGGCAGACCTGTGCTACCAGAGTGTCCCGTTCCAGAAAGGTTTTGATCCAGGTTTCATGATGTTTAGGGTACAATAATCTTTAGATAGCACCTTGTAGACCAAATAAAATGTACCTGCAGGTCCACGTGGCTCCCGGCCACCAGTTTGTGCCGGGTGCTAGGGGAGCCCCTCACATCCCATCCCAGGGTCACCTGCTCCGACACCTGCGTGCCCCTGGCTATGACCTCACTGCCCACCTCTGCCCAGCACTGGCCCACACCTCCCACCTTCTACCCAAGTGCAGCTCACTTGCCCGGGAGAGGCCCTGGTCTAGGTGGAGGCAGATGCTGCCCAGCAGCAGCCTGGCGGGGGAGGTCTTTGTCGTTCACACACGTTGTTATCTCAGCTGAGAGCGCCCTGGGAACAGTGGAGGTGGGTTCCTGGCTCACCCAGGCTCTTGACCTGAGAGTACAGCTTTTCCTCATCTGGACGCTTCCCCGGCCCACGCAGACCCAGGCAGCCCCGCAGGGCCCGCGGCCTGCTCCTCTGGGCTCTGCCGTCCCACTTCTCACGCACATTATGGGAAGTGGGCTTTCGCAATGACTGCGTGTGGGGCCCGGCAAGCCCTGGGACCCAGCACCTCTCGGTGTGCAGGGGAGTCCCGGGTCTCACCTGGGACTAAAAGGCCACAGCGCCCTGGAGACGCAAGCCCGCAGCGGCTGTGGGACAGGAAGGGGCACTGCTGGCAGTGAGAACCTGGGCCCTGCGGCCTAGAGCCTCGCCCTTTCTCATTGATAAAATAGGGAACAGAAAATAAGCCGTGGTTGGAAGCGTTTCATCTCAACGCTCCTTCCCCACGGACGGTCTCACTGTGGCCCAGGGGCCCTGTCCCTGCACCACGGGCAGGCCCTCCCCTGGGCTGGTCTCCGCCCTGAGGCCTCCTCCAGCCTCATGGAGCCTGGGGCTCCTCCAGCTGCTTCCCCTGTGGCCTAATGAGGTGATTGTGCGGCTCTTACCCAGGCCTACGTCTCGCGTTTATACAAGAAACCCACCTTTAATGTTGCTTCATCCAGAACCTTCACTTCCTCAATGAGCGTCTTCAATTCCTCCGAGCTCAGCAGAGAGATGACCGACTGGCCGGACGCCGGGGCACAGTCGTCGGCATCCGCAGGCTCGCCGTGACCCTCCGAGTATTCTCTCAGCTCCGAAAGGCTGTCAGGGAGAAGCAGCACCAGGTAGGAGTCCTACCATTACTGAGAGCAGCGTCCCTGCATACTTTGTCCAGGTGTGGCGCGGAGCACTCCTGTCACGTGTTGCAGCAAGTCTGTGGGCGGTCCCGACACCCTCCCCACAACACTGGGAATTGGGGTTCAGGGAAGGCAGATAGCCTGTCTGTGGCCCCCTGCGGTGAACTGTCGAGATCATGGTCTGACTGACTGCAGGGCCCTCGGCAGCCCACCCAGCCACGCCCAGTGACAGTCTCGCACCACGGCCACAGTCAGGGCCCAGCCTTTGCACTGAGCCGGCTGTTGAGGCCGATGCTCCCCTCCCGGGTGCTGTTAGGACCCAACACTACAGAGGCCAGCAACTGGCTCTCTTTCTAGTGCACTCACTTTGGTATCTAGGTGTTTTTGTGTGTGAAACTACAGTTTTGGTAGTAGGGGGTCACTCCCTTTGATTGGGGGGAAGGGCCCCCCAGCACTTCCAACAGGAAAGCAGCTTCTCAGCCAGAAAGAGCCAAGCGCTGGTGTGCTGAGTGCTCCCTGTCAGGCCGGTGGACGGCCGTGTCCCTCCAGGGCCTGCCCTGCCCTGCCCCCACTCAGGCTGTCTGCAGAGGCTGGAACCAGTGGGGGGTGAAGCGTCTCAGAGGTTTCTCAGCTGCAGTTGAGTAAGTGAAAGGGGCAGGTGTCACCACTTCCTCATCTGAACAGGGGAGGAAGCAGGTGAGTCCAGAAGGAAGCTGCTCGTGGCCAGTAAGTGCTGGAGCTGGGGCTGCGACCCAGACGCGTAAGTCCCCGTGCAAGGGGGACAAACCCGTGTGCGGGGGCAGCAAGAACCCCCAAGGGGTCATGTCGGGCGCAGTGTGGTCGCCTGAGCAGTGGTGGTTCAGACAGACGTGCATTCGTGGGGGGGCAGCCCAGAGCCTCACCTAGACCCAGTGCTGGGAAATCACCCTCGGCAGGAAGCTGAGCTCACACGCGTGCACACATATACACGCTCACACATGCACACACACATGAGCACGTGAACACGTGGGCACACGGACAAGGCGAGGTGGGATGACCCCGTCCTGAAGGAGGGTGGGCGCGAGCCTTACTTGAGCGAGAACCCTGTGTCGGCACTGCTGGCAGCCAGGTCTTGGCCGGGCCAGGACCCTGCAGGTGCCCCTTCCTCGGGGCTGCCGGGGGTCTGGCCGCAGGAGAGTGAGGAGGGGAGGCACAGCAGGGACTTCATGACAGCTGAGGACACATGGCTGCTGATGGAGTAGAGCTTGCAGGTTCTGTCGTCCAGCAGCTGGGCATCGCAAGACTGGGTCCTGGTCAGTGGGAAGCTGCGTGCCCGCTGGCTTGGCATCTTGACCACTGTGCCTGGTGGTTCCGCAGTCTGTGTGGACAGCAGCCTCAGGAGAGGGTCAGGGGTCAGGGCTTTCTCACTGGGCAGCCGCCCTCGGGGAGGGGTCCCCGACGCACCCAGGTCGCTGGCCTCCGTGGCTGCGTGGGGACCAGGGAGCTGCTCTTGCTGTGGGTGTGGCTGCTCAACGGTGGAGGGAGCCCCTCGCCCCAAGAGGCCAGGGACCCATCCCTCTTGTTTCTCAGGAGGCTTCGTGGCCTCTGCCGAGGAGCTGGGGGGCTGCAGGCTCAGCCTCTGGGCCCCTCTGTCAGGCAGCTGAGAGGAGCCAAAGGTCTCAAAGGAGCTGATTCTCTGCTGGATGGAGCTGGAGGCCCGTGCATGTGGCCCCAGGAGCTCCCTGGGGGCTGGCGTGGGCTTCGTGGAGGAGGCTGTGGGCAGTTGCTTGGGGTCTGGGCCTCGATGCCTCAACCCTTTCAAGCTCTGGCGAAACCAGGCTGGCTTGGGGGCCACGGGAGGCCCCTTCTTCACGATGCTGTTCTCTGCTGACTTGTAAACTTTGGGAGCACCATTGCTGGTGTCCAGCTTTGTGGGGGTCCCTTCCGGGTGGCCCTGATGTCCATCTCCAGCGAGGCTGACCTGGGGCTGGAGTGGTGTGTGGCTGTGGTTCTCGCTCATGATGGGGCTGAACAGGCTCTTGATACAGTCAGAGATTCTGACCCAGGGGTCCTCGGCCGTGCCGTCAGGGCCGCAGTCCACCCGCGCCTGCCTCTTCAGCGCTGGGTGTTTCACTGGAGACGGCTCAGTCCCTGGGGAGCAGAGACAAGGCTGAGGGTTTGCATTACATCCGATGGGGAGCTTTCTTCCTAAGTTCTGTTTTCAAAGCTGAAGGATTGTAGAGGAGGGTACCTGGGGGACCCCTGGTAGGGGGAGGAACCACCCAGGGTGGCAGGACCAGAGTGGACGTTGCCCTCAGCATCCTCGTGTTCTGGAGCTGAGAACATGTGGCCCGCCGGGCAGCACGTCAGAGGGGAGGGTGCGGGGCCATGCTTGTGCCTCGGCACAGTCAGGGCAAGACCCCTGTGTGCTCGGGGTCATGGCCGTTCTCCTTCCCCCTCTCCCTCCACCTCCCTAAAGGCCAGACCACTGTGTTGCTTGTTCTAAGGCACCGAGTCTTCAGCTGTTGTCAGCGGGACCAGGTGCTCCCCTCGCGCAGGTGGGAGCACACAGTCCACGCTCTCCGATGGGCCTCGGACGTGGAAACCCTGAGCGTCCCGCTGGGCCTGCTGCCACAGCGGCGGGCGGGTGTGTCCGTACCTTGTCCTGAGGGCTCTGTCCGGCCTGCCTCCCCTCGGCGGCAGAGCGTCACCCTGCAGACAGGAGGTCCCCCCCGACAGCACCCACGTCCTGGTGCCTAGCTCACCGAGTCCCTGACTCCCGGGGCCCCGGTTCCGCTCGGGTCAGACGCGCGTCCTACCTTCCCGTGGGACCTTGTGCACCAGGCGCCCCTCTGACGGGCTGAGGGACCGACCTGGGCTGCCTCCTCTCCGTCCCGGCCCGGCCGCTGTGGGGGACGCCGTCTGCAGGCCGACTGCAGGTCCTGGGCACCAGGCAAGGGCAGGGGGGGCTCTCGCTGCCGTGACTTCCTGCGGGGGCAGCGGCCCTCTGGCTTCCTGTGGTGTAAACAGGAAGTGAGGCTGTGTCAAAACGCCGCCTTCAGCTGTGAGACGCGAAGGCAGGGACTTTGCTTGGGCCCGGAGGGCGACGCGGAGGGTCCTAGGGACAAGCCCGACAGCCGCCCGGAGGAGAGGGTCCTTAGTGCTGCGGCGTCGCGGGCGTGCTCACCGTGTCACCCGTCACCTGCTCTCACACATGTGATCGTCCTGAATGTGGTCTTTGGTTATATGGGGATGTTTGCTTGTTCTTACGGAAAAGAAAGGTATTGTTTTTAAATTAGAAAAAACCGCCGTATTTTAATACAGGATTGCCATGTGTGAGAATGCAACCAGATTGGTCTTAAAACAAACCTCATGCCCGGCCGGCGTGGCTCAGAGGTTGAGCGTCGACCTAGGATCCAGGAGGTCGCGGTTCGATTCCCGGTCGGGGCCCAGGCCCGGGTGCAGGCCCCTCGATCCCCAGCAGGGGGCGCGCAGGAGGCAGCCGGTCAGTGACTCTCATCATGGATGTTTCTCTCTCTCCCCCTCTCCCTTCCTCTCTCTGAAAGCAATAAAAGATATATTTTTTTAAAAAAACAAAAAAAATCACAGTGACAGAAATGATAGTTGATGAATTACACCCTTGAGGAGCCTGCAGCCAGGTTCATTGGACATAAACACACAACTTCCACACACACGTGTGCAGGTTGTACAAGCAAAGGAATGGAAGCCGCGCTGCATGGGAAGGTGGGCACGTCCCTGCGTGTGCGCACGTGTGCACTTAATCGTTAAACAGATTTCTGGCACGTGAGGAAGGTGACGGGTGGGGTATGTGAGTCAGGGCCTGATTCGGTTAAGCTCTGTGTTCTTAACTTACTGCTAAACCCTCATTTCGTTTATGGTTTCACAAAAGCTTTTGTGTAAGAAATAACATTTTTGAAATCCACGACGTGGCCCGTTCTCTCCACCCCGCACGCAAACACGTGACCTGAGGCTGCCATGCTTCCTGTTTGTTTGCTGCAGTTCCTTTTCAGGGCCGCTGAAGGTGGCGGCACCTAGGCTGTCCGCAGGTTTTGCGACAGGTGTTGGCTCTTCCAGAGGGAGATAAAGCACAAAGTCTTTTGAGTTCTGACCTGTTGCCATAGTGCTCAGGCAAATAATTTTATAGTCGGTCATTGTTCAGGTTTCGGGCTAAGCATAGTGGGGCATCTAATCCCAGTAAGGGTCTTAGTATTGTGGAGTCAGGGCCTCTAAAGCTCCTTTTGTGGGGTTTTTTTAGGTACAGCCTTTAATTTCATGACTGAAAGTCCTTTAACAGGTTTGATGCCGGATTGTATAGATTCGGGTGAATGGTGTGAACGAGATTCCGGGCACGAAATTTTGTATAGGCTAACAGGAAGCGTCATTGAGTTTTCGAGTGTGTGGCAGAGGGCGCTTGACAGGGCTCAGGTGTCGGCATACGATGCTTTTCTAGTTTTGGTCACTGGAGCTGCCCAGTGATACCTGCTTTGGACAGACCCCGTCTTCCAGACGCCTTGCCCGTTGGCTGGGCCGTGAATCACGGAGCCAGAACGGAATATCGCGGCTTTCAAAACTGCACGTATACACATGCGGAGAAATGCTCCTCATAGCTGGTTAATGCCACAGTTCCTATTCTTAGACCTAACTGGCTCCAGGTAGAAAAGGTTACCTTTTTTTAAAAAAATACTGTGATTATCGGGGGTGGCTCCTAGGTAGCTTCATAATGTCAGTTACTGGTGCTCTGTGGGGGGTGGTGGCAAGTCCATCTGGTGTAGACAGAACGAACCACTGTTAATTATACCTCGAAAGGATAATGTTTGTTAGGTGTAGCGCTGTTGTGTTTCATAGGGCACCTTAGCCATGTTGTACTCGGGAACCAGCCATGGGATTTCTACATATGCTTTTGCTGGTCATACGTGGAGGCCATAGAGGGGTACTTTTAAATATATATATATGTGTATGTAACTTTTTTATTGGCTTCAGAGAAGAAGGGAGAGAGAGAGAAACATCAATGATGAGTCGTTGATCAGCTGCCTCCTGCACACACCCCCCGGCTGGGGTTCGAGCCCACATCCTGGGCATGTGCCCTGACTGGGAATTGAACCTCGATCTCCTGGATCCTAGGTCGATGCTCAACCACTGAGCCCCACCGGCTGGGCCATACGGAGGTCCTTTTACTATAAAGGCCATTAGCTTGGTAAGAACAGGGAAGTCTTCCAGACAGGGGCAGGTGCTGAACTTGGGCGAGTAGAAAGTTTAAGGAGCCTGGAAGGTTTTAGATGCAGGTCAGGGAAGGGACGTGTGGAGCTGGTCCCAGGAGTGTGTAAGACGGGAGTCAGTCCTTCTGCTCCCCCTCCGCAGCGAGCGGTGATGATGCTCCGAATTAGTGGTGATTTAAATGGGATGGAAAATAGAATTCATTCTGTGGTGGTAAATGTCATAAGTAGGAAAACTTGTTACCCAATATTTTTTATGTTAAGGAGTCTGCTCCTGAAGATGAAATTCCCCAGCGGTGAGTGTTCATGGGAGAAGCCACATTGTTAACCCCGAGAATACCGGGCGTGGAAAAGGGTCTCGAGAAGCTGAGCCGTCAGTAGGCAGGAACTGAGGGAGGGGAGGAGAGCGTTAGTGGGGCAGTTGGGATGCTCAGGGTGGATTCGGAGGGCGGCAGTGTGTATGTACAACGTCCACTAGAAACGTAACAGGTACTAAAAGAGCTTTATGTGGAAACGGGCACATTCTCAGTGTGCAACACTAACCACAGGTAACAAGGCTCATGGGATAGTTAGAAATACTGGTATTTTTTATTGAACTTACTGGGGTGACAGTGGTTCCCTAAACCATACACGTTTCAAGTGAACAAATAAAAAAAATTTCAACCACCCACCGCATCTGGGCCATTTACACCATGAAAACTCTCTTTCAGTCCAATTTTCATAATTTTAGGTTCATTATGTTCTGCGATTATCCACAAGAAAATGGGCCCCAAGGTGGTGAGTACTGAGAGTGGTGTCATCTGTTCTCTGCCACCAGTTCTCCCTTATCTCCCACTCTCTCCTCTCTCTCATTACGACTCTTCTCCTCTCTCCTCTGAGTCTCTCCCTCTTCTCTAAGTGTCTCTCTCTCTTCTCTGAGTCTCTCTCTCCCTCTCCTCTCTGAGTCTCTCCCTCTCTTTGAGTCTCTCTCTCTCCCTCTCTTCTCTGAGTCTCTCTCTCTTCTCTAAGTCTCTCTCTCCCTCTTCTAAGTCTCTCCCTCTCTTCTCTGAGTCTCTCTCTTCTCTAAGTCTCTCTCCCCTCTCTTAGTCTCTCTCTCCCTCTCTTCTCTGAGTCTCTCTCTCCCTCTCTTTGAGTCTCTCCCTCTCTTCTCTGAGTCTCTCTCTCCTTCTCTCCTCTGAGTCGCACCCTCTCCTCTCTGAGTCTCTCCCTCTCTTCTCTGAGTCTCTCTCTCCCTCTCTCCTCTGAGTCTCTCCCTCTCTCCTCTGAGTCTCTCTCTTCCTCTCCTCTAAGTCTCTCCCTCTCTTCTCTGAGTCTCTCTTCTCTGTCTCCCTCTCTACTCTGGGTCTCTCTCTTCCTCTCTTTGAGTCTCTCTCTCCCTCTCTCCTCTGAGTCGCATCTCTCTCCCTCTCTTCTCTGTCTCTCTCCCTCTCTCCTCTGAGTCTCTCCCTTCTCTGAGTCTCTCCCTCTCTCCTCTGAGTCTCTCTCTCCTCTGAGTCTCTCCCTTCTCTCCTCTGAGTCTCTCCCTCTCTTCTCTGAGTCTCTCTCTTCTCTGAGTCTCTCTCTCCCTCTCTCCTCTGAGTCTCTCTCTCTCCCTCTCCTCTCTAAGTCTCTCCCTCTCTTCTCTGAGTCTCTCTCTCCCTCTCTTTGAGTCTCTCCCTCTCTCCTCTGAGTCGCTCCCTCTCCTCTCTGAGTCTCTCTTCTCTAACTCTCTCTCCCCTCTCTTAGTCTCTCTCTCCCTCTCCTAAGTCTCTCCCTCTCCTCTCTGCGTCTCTCTCTGAGTCCCTCCCTCCCTCTCTCCTCTGAGTCCAACTCTCCTCTGAGTCCCTCTCTCCCTCTCTCCTCTGAATGCCACACGCCCCGCCCTTCCTGGAGATTCTTAGGAAAGAGAAACTCTCAAAGGAGGCCACGTCAGTGAAGAGCGGGAGACACTCAACAGATGCAGGCGGAGACCCAGAGAAGAGAGGGAGACATTCAACAGAGGCAGGCGGAGACCCAGAGAAGAGATGGAGACACTCAACGGAGGCAGGCGGAGACCCAGAGAAGAGAGAGACACTCAACGGAGGCAGGCGGAGACCCAGAGAAGAGAGGGAGACACTCAACGGAGGCAGGCGGAGACCCAGAGAAGAGAGGGAGACACTCAACGGAGGCAGGCGGAGACCCAGAGAAGAGAGGGAGACACTCAACGGAGGCAGGCGGAGACCCAGAGAAGAGAGGGAGACACTCAACGGAGGCAGGCGGAGACCCAGAGAAGAGAGGGAGACACTCAACGGAGGCAGGCGGAGACCCAGAGAAGAGAGGGAGACACTCAACGGAGGCAGGCGGAGACCCAGAGAAGAGAGGGAGACACTCAACGGAGGCAGGCGGAGACCCAGAGAAGAGAGGGAGACACTCAACGGAGGCAGGCGGAGACCCAGAGAAGAGAGGGAGACACTCAACGGAGGCAGGCGGAGACCCAGAGAAGAGAGGGAGACACTCAACGGAGGCAGGCGGAGACCCAGAGAAGAGAGGGAGACACTCAACGGAGGCAGGCGGAGACCCAGAGAAGAGAGGGAGACACTCAACGGAGGCAGGCGGAGACCCAGAGAAGAGAGGGAGACACTCAACGGAGGCAGGCGGAGACCCAGAGAAGAGAGGGAGACACTCAACGGAGGCAGGCGGAGACCCAGAGAAGAGAGGGAGACACTCAACGGAGGCAGGCGGAGACCCAGAGAAGAGAGGGAGACACTCAACGGAGGTAGGTGGAGACCCAGGCAAGAGAGGGAGAGACCCAGAGAAGAAAGGGAGACACTCAACGGAGGCAGGTGGAGACCCAGAGCAGAGAGGGAGATGTTAAGGAAGAGTGTGAGGCATTAGGGAAGACGCTGGGTTCTAGAGATAGGGAAGAGAAGGGAAGGAGGTGAGATTCAGAAGGTTTTGGGGGAGTCTCAGAACATCAGGTGTTGTACTCACCTAGTTGCTACAGGACTGAATCTAGTCTGAATTTTTTTTTAAAGGGATTCTAAAATATCTATGTCTCTTTATTTCAGAGGGAGGCATGGAGAGGGAGAGAGAGACTTCAGTGGTCAGAGTCGTTGGTCGGACGCCTCCTGTGCGCCCCCTGGTGGGGATCCGGCCGCCAGCAACCCAGGCAGGCACCTGAGGGAGTCCAACCCAATCTCCTGGATCATGGGTGATCCTCAGCGGCTGAGCCTCGCCGGCCGGGTCAAGGCTTTACTTTGCTGCCATCGAAGGTGAACTCAGCACCACGCGAGCTCTTCCCGTGCCTCTGCTCCCCCTGCTCACTCCCACCAGCGGTCGCTCCCCACCCAGCACCCCGTCTTCACTCCCACCAGAGGGCGCTCCCCACCCAGCACCCCGTCTTCACTCCCACCAGCGGTCGCTCCCCACCCAGCACCCCGTGTTCACTCCCACCAGCGGCCACTCCCCACCCAGCACCCCGTGTTCACTCCCACCAGCGGTCACTCCCCACCCAGCACCCCGTGTTCACTCCCACCAGCGGTCACTCCCCACCCAGCACCCCGTGTTCACTCCCACCAGAGGGCGCTCCCCACCCAGGGCTCTGTGTTCACTCCCACCTGAGGGTGCTCACTCCCACCTGAGGTCACTCCCCACCCAGGGCTCTGTGTTCACTCCCACCTGAGGCCGCTCCCCTCCCCTGTGCCGTGTTCACTCTCCCTTGACCCGCCCCCACCCGGGCCCTTACCCACAGTGTCAGCCTCACAGCCCATCATACACCATCACCACAGTGGTCCCCCTGAACCTCCATGTCTAAGGGAGTGGGATGCATACCTACCAGACAGGTAAATGGGGCCAGTTTCTCCCCATCACTAATCTGTTAAGGAAAACTTGCCCTCAGCCTTGGTTCCCTGTTGAGGCACCTGTCCCAAGGGGTGGACAGCTGAGTCCCCTCGCTGGGCCGCCTGCCCACCCTCTGGAGGGCCCTCCCCCAGGTGCACAGTGAGCTACGGGACAGCAGCCTCAGCTGCGGTGCGGTGCCCCCAGGCCCAGGAGCCACTCACCTGGATGTGGGCGTCGGCGCTCTCCTCCGGACTCGGCTGCAGGTGACTGTCACCCTTAAAGTATTTCCTGGGCGGAGGCTTGGGCTTGGAGGATGTCGGCTTCCTTACGAAAATCTCAAACGATTTCTTCTGTCTCAGGGGCCGGTGGTCCTCCTGTGTCTCCAGGAAGCCTGGGCTCTCCTGGGGGGGCCGGGCGTCCTGCCCCAGGGACACCCTGGGGCTGTCTGTGCTGCCTTCCGGGCCCCAGGGCTGCTGCTCACGGGCACCGTGGCCGGGACTGCCCCCGGGGGACCCCGACATGTAGCTGCTGTCGCTGCTGGAGCGGATCATGACCTTCTGAGCCCTGCGCTGTGGGGGTGCCGAGCTCTCCCCCTCCTTCTCCATCTCGGCCGTGGGCCGCCCGTGCCAGCTGCTCTCCAGCCTTTTGACACCTGTGTCAGAAGCACAGGTGAGACCACGGAGCAGCTCAGCCGGGTGCCACTCGGCTGTCACAGGCGCATCCTGCACCCAGCCATCAGCCTCTCAGAGCTCACTGGTTTGGAGCCGCCAGCCTGGGGTTTGGTGCACGGTGAGATCTGGCGCGTCAGGTTGGGGTCGTCATTGCCCCTTTCTGTCCCCATGGGATGGACACTGAGACGGGCCACCCCCGCCTGACCCTCAAGGCAGGCCTGGGTGTCCTGGCTGTGCAGGGTGCCCGAGGACACCTCAGCGAGAGGCCGGGTCCCCAAAAGGCCACCTAGCGGCAGCGACTGATGGCAGTGGGGCCCACCTCTGCCATGTCAGATGGGCCGTTCATTACGTCGCCAGGGCTCGGGCGAAGCCGTGTGTTATCTCAGTTCAGACGACTGTAGACGTGGCCACGTGCAGCCAGTCTACTGCCTGTTTGCAAACGTTACCCATAGGCCAAGCTTGTCTGTGACGATGGTCCTCCTATATTCCTGGGGTGAGCTAATCTCAAACCCAAAGCTTTCGAACAAAGATGCTTGAAATAAAAGTTCACCATTTCCCTTACCGTCCGGGCTCCGTTGGTGCCTCTCTTTTCCAAACTTGAGGTTCTCCGCAGCCTGGGCCACAGCGTCTTTGAACTGCTGTTCAGAGACCTGTAAACGTCAATCATCTCACATAAACGGTGGAAACCGTGTGTCCAGCCCCCCGTCCAGAATGGACCCCTGGGTTCCATCCTTTCCTTCCAACCCACATTGCACAGAGCTGACACGTTCTATTTCCAGACACACCCCAGGCACCAGTGGCCCCCGAGTAAAGTCCAGGCTGACAATAAAAGGTGGGGGGAGGGGTGCACAGCTCTCCGGCCGTCTGGCCGCTGCTTGCTACAGAGCTCCAGGCAAAGTGACCGCTTCTGGGTTCACCTCCGGGGTCCACCATCCTTGCAGTGCTCTCACGGCCCGAGAGTCATGCTTGAGAGTGTGGCCCTTGGAGGCGCCACTCAGTCTTCTCACAGTGAGAACACTCCGGCCACCCTGACACTGGGATTCTTTCCGAGCGTTGCTCCTGTCGCTCCTTCATTCCCTTCCCAGCTACTGCTGAACCCAGGCCCTCGGCCCCGGTTTCCTCCCTCTTACCGACTCCAGGTTCCACTCACGCCGTCCCATCCCCCATAGTCCAGCCACACATTACGTCTGTAGCTGCAGACAGACCTCGCCTAGCTCCTCGCTAACCAAAGACTAACCTGCAAACTCTTCAGCATCGTGCTGAAAGCCTGGACAGTGAGCCCCCAGCGCCTCGCCAAACCCCACGTAGTCCTCCAGCACCCCACGTCCCGGCCGCATGACCCGTCCCTGAAACTGCCCACACAGCGGCGACGGGAACTGCTGAGAGCCGGCACAGACCGCCCTGAGCGGCGTGGCTGATGGGAGTCTGCGCAGCGAGCAGCCAGACCACCCCAAGCTGACCTCAGGGAAACCGAAATGCACAAAACTCCACGGACAGAGGTGCTGTTGCCCGGAGCCCTTTACAAAGCAAGAGGTCCCTCAGGGAGGGAGACCCGGTGCCCAGACCAAACGTGGACACAAATGGGACTGACCAAACTTCTAGGTGCAATTTCTCCGTTCCCGCCTGGCCCCCTCATGTCCCGAACCGCAGATGGCGAATCAGGCCCCGAATTAGAATTAATAAATAGGCACACGTCCCGCCTCACGCTTATTCTTTAAATCTGATTCACGTCTTTACTTCGGGAGACTTTCCCGAGGCTTGCCTCCTATTCGGCTGTATTTCCCTGTGAAAATCCTGTTGCCTACTTCACAGATGAATTTTACCAAACAAGAAGAAATAACCCCTGTCCTCAAACTCTTCCAAAAAACTCAAGAGGAAGGAAGGCTCCCAAGCTCATTGTACAAGGTCAGCATTATCCCAATTCCAAAACCAGATCCAGACCCCATAAAGCAAGAGAATTACAGGCCAGTGTCCCCACCTAGCGCCACTGGCCCCTGGTGCCCAGGCGCTGGCCGGCGGCCTCCGCTGCAGACCTCGGTCGCGGCAGACACTTGGGACAGAGTGAGCCTTGGGGAGACACGATGCCCCAGGGGGTGTTACCTGTGGGTCCGGGTGCCGGCTGACAATGATGGGGACCGGCCCGGGGTCACAGTGACTCAGGACCCCGTAGACTTCGTTGAGCGTCATGCAGTGAACGGGCGCGTCGTTGACCTCCACGATCTCGTCGCCACACCTGGGAAAGCGTGAGGAGGAACCATGGCGAGCTCACCCGGGTGGTGGTGGGACAGTCGCTTCCTGCGGGGGGCTGGGGGGCCCCTGCTCTGGTTTGACGAAACCTAAACACCACAGTATTAAGCGGACGCTCCTGGTCGCCAGACTAACTTGGGCCAGGGCAGCCCTGAGCAACACATCGCGCACCCTCCAGGGGACGTGAGGTCAGAGGAAGACTAGCACCCGGCGACTTCACTTACACGTGGAACCTAATGGACAAAATAAACTAACGGGGTAGAAACAGACTCACGGCTGTGAGAGGGGAGGGGGGTGGGGGGCTGGGTGAAAAAGGTGAAGGGATTAAGAAAAAACAAAACTCATAGATACGGGCAACGGCCAGGAGATCACCAGAGGGGGGGGAGGGGTGAATGGCGATGGAAGGAAACTCGACGTGGGGAGGTGAACTCACAATGCAACACACAGATGATGCGTATGGATTTGTACACCCAAAGCCTATATAATTTTATCAACCAGTGTCACCCCAATCAGTTCAATAAAAATTCTTCAGAAGGAATCCCTGAGAATGTGTTCCGTCGGCCGGCAAGAAATTCAGCGGATACCACGGACTTGCTCGGTGAGCCCCCTCGGGGAATGCGGTGAAACCTCCTCGACGGCCTCGGTGTCACTGCTCACCCCGCTAGTCAAATCTGAGTTAACGTGGGGCTCCCGCCCACTCCCTTCTTCCCGTGGTGTGGTCCCAGGCAGGCCTCCCGACCCCCGCCGCTGGTGCGAACCCCGGGGGGCCTAGGGTGCTGCATTTCTAACGAACTCCCCAGTGATGTCCACGCCGCTGGGTGGTTCTGAGGATCTGCCTCCATGGCAGCCTCCCGACCGCCTGAGGAATCCCTTCTGTTGTCACTCGGGGTCTTTTCAAAACGGGAAATAGGGACGTACCGGAGCCGTCCGTCCAAATGCGCCACGGACCCCGGAGACAGCGTGTGGACGAAGATTCCCGAGACGCACTGGACGTAGGGGACGCTGCACAGGCCGATCCCCAGACCAACGCCGGCCTCTGGGGGCAGAAGGGGGTGGGGTGACGGAGCTCCCCCGGGGGCTGCGGCTCGGGTTGGTCGCTGCACCTGCTCATGTGGCACTGACGCCACCATGTTTGGGGGACATCTGTGGGTGGGCGCGTTCCAGGGTCAGCAGCAGGGACCCCGGCAGCGAGGACGCTGAGGCAGGCGGGAAAGGCCAGGAGGGAGGCGTGTGTGAGCATGTGCTTCGTGTTTGCTTTCGCCGTGTCCCGGCCCCGACACGGGGACATGACTGGGCGCGGACGTGTCCCCCCTGCTAAGCCAGGCGTGGGGGACGTCTGGCCTGTGGGCTGTATAAGGCCTGTGGTCTGGTCCTGCCGGGGAACCTCGGGCGGGACTTGGAATTCAATACACCTAGGAGCTTTTCTCATAGCTAATTTTTTAAGATGACAGTTTTGTGTGGCCAGGGAACGATGTTATGAATATCCAAGTGGCCCTTGGCAGAAAAAAGCTTCCCCGGCCCCGCTAAGCGGTGGCCACAGAACCTGCTTTGAGACAATCCGCCCGACTCGGGATCGACTGGAGCTGAGGGAGGTCCGGGGGAGCTCTGGGTGGGCGGCCCAGGCAGGAGAGGGAAGGGGAACGCAGCCCCCCGGGAGGCACACCCTACCCTTCTGCAGAGAAACCTCCACCATGACTCTGTAGCTGGGCTTCGAGGTGGCAGCAGGAGCCTCAGCGTTCTCCAGGGGGAAGGAGCCGCTGGCCGCGGGCGCGCAGGTGCTGGAGCTCAGGGAGGGCGCAGCGGCGGTCAGGCGGGTCCTCACCGTGAGGGTCAGCAGCCCCTTTTTGGCTTGCTAAAAGGAAAGAGAGGGTGCTGTGGCATCCAGGCCGACTCCGGGCAAGGTAAAACATAAAATAAAATAAAAAAAAAAAAACGCAAAACGGGCCTCGGGTTAACCGCGCGGTCTCGTGCGTGTTATAGACACAAATCTATCAGTATCGACACATAGCATGTTTAAAAACGTCTACAAATCTTCCGCAGTTGAAGTCTCCCCCAGAACAAGTGGTTTTCACACTTGCCCACCCCGGCATCCCTGGTCACCCACGTGAGGGCTCCCACATCTGCATGTGTAGGTGATGCTGGGGGCCTGGTTCCTCTGCCCCAGCCCCAGAGTTGGGCCTGGTAACAAATGATTACCTTGAACTTCTGCAGAGCGTCCTGATGTGTCAGCCCGGCCATGGAGTCACCATTGAGCTCCAGAATTTCATCACCTTTTGGGAAGGAGAAATGGTAGCTAACAGGGGTGTCGCTCACTCGGGGACATCCTTACCCTGGACTCTAGTTTCGCCACCTGCCCAGCATTTGCACAAAGCACTGTGAAGACATTTCTCGTTCAGTCCCGTCCCCCCACCTGCCGGAAGCTGGAGGGGCAGTGGGATGGGCCCTGGGGGACCTCTGATTTTCCAGGGAATTGGGGTTCCTAGCCAGGCGCACATGGCCTGGCCTGGCCTGCCCTGGTCTGTCCACCTCCTGGCTCCACCTCCTTCCCCTCTGCCTCCCTGACCCGCACTCTGTGTCTCCCATAAACCACCTCCTGACGCAGCAGACTTGCCCTCATATCGCCTGCACTTGCACTGTGAAATGAAGTGAAGAACCTACACACTACCAACTGGCCCTAGGCAGACCCGCTCAGGGCCTGGGCCCCTGTCCAGGGCTATCCCTACAGTTGTGAGTTAGGGAGGGCAGGGACAATAAAGGAAGGGATGTCAGTGGATGCCAGGGACCAAGGAGGGACCAGGAAAAGAAAGAAGGCACCAGTGAGCCGGCCAGCATGGCTCAGCGGCTGAGCATCGACCTGGGATCCAGGAGATCCTAGTTTGATTTCCCCGTCAGGGCACATGCCCGGGTTGCGAGGTGTGCAGGAGGCAGCCGATCAACGACTCTCATCATTGATGTTTCTCTCTCTCCCTGGCTCTGAAATCAATAAAACATATTTTTTTAAAAAAAGAAAAGAAAGAAAGAAGGCATCGGCGAGAATGAACGGGAGTCGCTCTGTCTTCTGACCCAGGCTGGCCACGGGGCGGGGACTGAGTGTGCAGATGCCGGGCCAACCAGACCCTGGCATCCGCACAGTGTACTCTGCAGGCTCAGCACCTGCCACCTTCCCAGCGCCTCCTGCAGCCAAGCAATTCTAGGAAGGGCTGGGACATGCACCTTCTTGGAGCCGGCCATCGGCTGCCGCGGCTCCCCCGGCAAAGATGGTTTTGACGTAAATTCCAATGGGGCCGTAAATGCTGTCCTTTCCCCCAACGATGCTGAAGCCCAGGCCCTGGCAAGAAAGAGGGGCCGTCAGAGGGTCTCTGGTGTCCTGCTCGCTGGGCTGCGTTTCCCGAGGGCCTGCCCACCTGGACTGGGCCTCGGAGGACAGGTGCCTTTGGTTTCCCAGGTCTCCTGGCTCAACTACGGGAGGAGAGGAGCTGTGACTTTGAGGCCGGACAGGCTGTGTGGAATCTGGGGCTCCCACCCGAGTCTGATGCTCTCCATAGAGGGGGCCCTGGACGGAGACGCTCCCCCCGCCCCCGGCAGTTCTGAGCAGACGGCTTCCTGTCTCTGACCTCACCTTACCTTCTTGCAAACCGATGCTGACCTCACCTCTCATTGGTGAGGTTTCAACAGTGAACAAGGTGCCCAACCACAACTACGTTCCCAGGGAGGCAGCGCTCTTCTCCGGCCCCAGGTGTTCACTCCCTCTGGGCAGCCCCACCCTCCCCTGGCCAAGGACCCCACTGCAGTCCCCTCCCGCACCTCACCACTGCCCACTCCCTCGGCTGGGCCACAAGCTGGCCTCACTCCTGCCGGTCACCCCGTTGGTGCCTAGGCTGTCCCAGGTGGACAGGGGGAGGCAGGCCTTGCTTCCAAGCCCAGCCCCTGCTCTGTACTCCAGGCCCCTGCCCAGTGACACAGGTGCTCACAGACTGTAGTCACTGAGTGGGCATCTCGTGCCCAGCAGCCTAACCCTACCCCTCTTGGTCATCTTTGCGTGAGTCTCGGTGCCCCGTTCCATTCTGTGTTCATTCGAACCAGAAAGTAGGGCTGTTGGGATACAGCTCGGGATCGGAGACAGTGACTCCCTTCTGATCAGAGGGAGGATCACTGCCTGTTCCCCCGTCTCCTCTTGCCCTCCCTGGGCTCCCAGGGCAGAGAAGGCGGAGGCGGGAGGGGGCGAGAGCACTGCAGGTGTGTGGGCCCCTCCCTCTGCCACGAATGCCTGTTAGCGCCTCTATGTGGAGCCAGGACCACCGCCTGTCCTCGCCCTTCCTTTGACACAACAGCTCCTCGGGACCTGGTGTCGTTCCAGAAGTTTCCACTGGCAACAGCCCCTGCTCACCTTGGCCTGGCCCTTCATCAGCACGATGTTGGAGATGACGGAAGCCTGGAGGCCCCCAGAGGGCTGCAGGAGCTGAGCTGTGCTCAGGGACCGCGTGGGTCTGGACAAGCCCTGCAAAGAGGGACCAGGTGGGACAAGGGCACACACCTCACAGGGAGGGGACAAGCCCAGCCCAGGAGAGGCCCCAAGTCCCCTCCAGCCGCTGAGGGGCGCGTGGCTGGGTCTGGTGCAGAGGGGCTGTTTCTGGCCCAGAAGTTGAGCCAGATCTCTGCAGCCCTGCAGCCCGAGCTCAGCAAGGAGTCAAGGCAGCCGCCAGGGGGCGCTGTGTGACCACCAGTGGCTGCCGGAGGCCCTGGCCTGAGCCGGGCACTGGCTGGGGCTTAGGGAGACAGTCACCAGCTGCTGCAGTAACTTGGGTGGGGGACACTGTGCTTCCTATCTGCTTAGCACCCCGTCTGCAAGCTGAGGCCCCACAGTGCGAAGGGCATGGGCTGGGGAGCCCCCTGAGGCTGGGTTCCAATTCGGGCCCCTTAGGTCTTAAGATACATGAATTCAGTCTGGCCCAAACTTCCGTTTCCTGCCTGTAAAATGGGGCTGATATTAATGTCTTTTGAAGCTTGTTTGAAGAATCAGAGGCAATGTGTGTAAAGCAAGTCACATATCACAGGGGTTAAAAACCAGAGGGTCCAACGTCAGGTTCCCACCGACTCTGACAACCCGTGTGAACTGTCCCGGCCCCGGGCCCCTAGTCCACCTGCTGGGGTTACTGTGCAGGTGATACACAGGGTCTACACAGCCTGGCTCTGAGCTGGCACGCTCGCTGCTAATCACAGAGGCAGCAAGTGCCCAGGACACGGGGGCGCTCAGGAGCCGACCGTCCCGATGTGGTCCTTCACCCACAGGAGGCCATGCCTGCTAGGCCGGCCCCTCTCCCCTGCAATTCTGTGGACATGAAACCACCCAATGTCCTCTTTAGCCCCCGATAGGTCAGGACCCCTCCTGTCCCCTCCCTGGGCTCCTCCCTACATCCTCACCCCAGCCTTCCCCGCGGGGCAGTCCAGCTGCTGAGACAGAGACTTCCTGTCGCTGCAGAGGGAATAGGGAGGCCTGTCTGTGGACGCGGCCGTCGTCCTGGCCACTGGAAAATCTGTCTCTGCTGTGCAGTAGGGATTAACACCTGGACCAGGGGAGGGAGAAAGGAGAAAGCATTTGTGCTCTCAGAAAGCAGCAGAGAACCTCAGCCCCCAGCAGCCGTCCCCCACCCTCCAATCTCTGCTGACCCTGACCCATGAATGGACTAACTGGAAACCCAAGGGCCAGGAGCCCAGATGACGTGTCTGCAAGTCGGTGCCCAGGGTGCCAGCAGGGCCGGCTGCGTGGCCACATGGGCTGCGAAGTCAGAGCCCACACTTAGAAGGTTCAGTGCTCTGCTGTTGCTATTTTCAAATTCTTAATAATTTCTGAACAGGGATCTCACATGTTCCTTTTACAGTGATGCCCACAAACTGTGCAGCTGGTTTGGGGCAGAGAAAAGCAGACAATGGTGTGGGGGGAGCGGGAAACAGAAGAACCTGCAGAGCAAATACTTTTTAAAAATTCCCATCTAGCCTGGCTGGCGTGGCTCAGCGGTTGAGCATCGGCCTTTGAAACAGGAGGTTGCAGTTCGATTCCCGGTCAGGGCACAGGCCCGGGCTGCAGGCTCCTCGATCCCCAGCAGGAGGCGAGCAGGAGGCAGCCGATCAATGACTCATCATTGATGTTTCTCTCCCTCTCCCATCCTCTCTCTGAAATCAATAAAAAAATATGTATTTTAAAATTTCCCATCCAGTGTGGGCTACAGCTGAGGAAACAGATGTACTGTTAGCTCCTGACACTCCACAGCACAAATCACAACCTGAAGCATATTTTCCTTCTGAAACTCCTTGTCTAGGAAATTGTGCTCAAGGAAAAAAAGTAAAAATTTGTGATAAAAAAGCCAACTAGGGATCCAAAAAATAGGAAAGGATTAATTTAATGGAAGTGCATCCTGCAACAGATCAATATGAGGCATGGAGATCTCAGGGTCCTTCTGGAGCAGGACCTAAAACCCAGTGCCCTGGCCCCCAAAATGTGAGGGGCAGCCACGCGCCAGCCCGGCGCCTTTTGTATCCCCTACAAAAGTCATCCCGGGTGCGAACAAAACTCCATGCGCAACGTCAGCAACGTTGATGCCGTGTAAAAGCTGCGAATATCTAAACTAGCTTATGTACATTCATATGATGAGATGCTGTGTATCCACTAAAAATGGTATCTATAGGGGAATGTCCCACGGCGGGGACACAACCGCTGGAGGGAACGGCTGAAAGTGTTCATCGCCCCTAATACGAGCATGGGCGTGGTTTGATTTCCTCAAGCTTTCCTGCATCTTCACATTCTCCCGACTGTGTGTTCCACCTGCAACCACCATCTTCCAGCCTCGCCTCCCATCTCGTGACAGATGGGGTGACAGGCGCCCAGGAGAGGGTGGCCTTGCTAAGACCAAGGAGGATGTCACGCACTGAGCAGGAGGCAGGCCCTGCCTCCCTTCCTCTGTGTCCTGTCTTCTCAACGTGCAGAGTTCGGACAGAGGAGGGGAGTCGGGCCCAGGCCCCGGAGCACTCAGGCAGGACCGGCAGAGGCCCTGCAGCTGGCGGGAGGCGCACACACTGGAGAGGCTCATGGAGAGCCCAGCGGACACAGCCTGGGTTTGGGCCAACTGGGCCAGCAGAGACCCGCCCTCCCTGAGACGCCCTCATCGCAGACACTCCCGAGGGTCAGCAGAAGCTGAGGGCAGAGCAGCCGGACACTTACTGGTTGAGTTGCTGCGTGTCCTGTGGTGACCGGCTTTGGGCAGCAGGAAGATACTTTGTGCTTCAAGTTTTCCGGACTTTTCTCGAGAGGAAGTTGTAGACGCTTCCTGCAAAAACAGTTGCAGTTTTTTATTCCCCAGGCCAGTCAGAATCGAGAACTGTGCTGAGCCCGGCCTGAAGAGCGTCGACCTAGGAACCAGGAGATCGCGGTTCGATTCCCGGCCAGGGCCCAGGCCCAGGTTGCGGGCTCCTGGATCCCCAGCAGGGGGCGAGCAGGAGGCAGCCGGTCCATGACTCTCATCATTGGTGTTTCTCTCTCTCTCCCTTCCTCTGAAATCAATAAAAACATACTTTAAAAAAGGAAAAAGAAAAAGGTGCTTAGAAAACAGATTTTGACTCTGACTTGGAGGGTCTTTGTCGACGGTCTGTCTGCTCCACTAACCTACAGGCTCCGTGAGGCAGGGAGTTAGAAGAGCTGCCGCGTGTTAATTCACAGATACATGAATTCGTTTGACAAGGACACTAATGCTGCCCTGACCCAGGGGGTGGGGACTGACTGGCAGATACGGCTGTGAACAAGGACACTGATCTCAGAGAAAAGCCGTTTCAGTGAAATGCAAACAAGGAAACAAATAAAAATGAGAGGCAATGACAGAGTGTGAATGTTATGAAGCCCTTTCCAAAGAAAATTACAAACCTTGCTGAAAGGCCTTCGCATCTGAGTAATGGAGAAATAGATCATGTTTGTGAGACGGGAGACTTAATAATTACTTGTGTCAGTCCCGGCCCCCCAAATCCATCTATAAATTTATGGAAGCATTAACAAGATTTCAAGTGTTTTTTTGAGTATCACAAGGTGATCCTTAAATTTTTAGCAAGAAGCAAAGGGCCAGAGATAAAGTTCCTAAATAAGCAAAAAGAGGGAGAGACTTCCATCCATGAGAACAATGCTGATGTTAAAATATAGTGACTAAGACAGTAGAGTTTGGAAATGAGGGTAAAAAATTGGCCCATAAAACAGAACAGAGAGCCGAGAGCAGCCTCAGGAGAGGAGACTTGATTTGTGACAGAACTAACATCCGCGGGGAAGACAGAGGGCAATGAAAGATTCTGAAAGGCCAGGAGGACATGGCCAATGGCCAGGACCCTGGCGACTTGAGGGATGACAAGCGTGAGTCCCTGGGCTTTCTTTCCATCTACTATATACCAGACTAGGTGCCGGGGACCTGCAACCCAGACCTGACGCCAGGCAGAGACAGGATAAAAACCCGGCCAAACACCAGGAAAGGGAGAGGACCGCCAGGGACTCAGTGGGAGCCCCACCACGAGGGCACCGGCAGGGCTGCAGCCGAGCTCCAGGCTGACCAGCCCCCAGCTATGGGGATGGCACGAGCAGGGGTGGATCCCACCTGCGGGGACCCATCAGCTGAGCGCCTTGGTCCCTGCCCCCCACCCGGCGACAGGAGAGACCCAGGCCCAGCAGATTCTGCCCATCCCCACCCTGAGCGGCAGATGGTCACCCTGAGATACCAGGCCAGCTGGAGCAGCTCTTCCCGCCCAGCAGGCAGAGCGGCGGGGACTGAGCGAAACCGCCGGCCTTGCCAGGAAAACGAAGCCGACGAGAGCAGCCCCGCAAGGGCTCTGAAAAGTAAACTCCCGGTTCCCCCCTTTCTCCTGCGTCTCCCCACCTCACGGCGTCCTGCCAGGACCAGTGAGCTCCAGACCAGCTTCCAGGGGCACAGCTCCCAATGTCCTCTGACACTGGGGCAGCACCAGAAGCCACATGGAGCTTGGGAGCCGGTCAGCGAGTACGTGGCAATCACACCCGCACGTGGACCACCCCTGCCTCCCACACACGGGGGTGCAGCGGGCTCTGTGGGAGTCCTGCAACCCCAACTGCCCTCCCCGTGGCTGCTCTCGGCCTCCACGAGCTGCTCTTCTGTGGCAGGAAGAGGCAAGTGGCCAAAGGATTGGGTTTCCCAGATGCTAAGGAAGCCAGGGCCTCAGCGCCACAGGCTGAGGGGCTCCCAGGAGCAGAACGCAAGGCCCTGCCTGCTCTGGGGCCCTGACCACCCTGTCTCCACCCGCAGCACAGACGGCTGATCTGACCTCATCACATCCTGAGTCACGCCGCATGAGTGGTGACTTAGCCTGACCAATATTTTGAATTTGTGGGGGGAAAAAAGATAGAATTTTCCCCACTACTGAGGCCATTCCCATGTGGATCAAAGTGTCTTTTTGGAGGGCAAACCCAGGGGGAGGACCTCCCACACGTCTGGTCCCAGCAGTGGGAGTGCCCAAGCCATGTCCAGTGTAGACCCATGTGCTCACTAAAAGCCATGCGGGCTGGGCTGTCAACAGCTCCCTGCCCCAGGGTGGCCTCGTCGTAGTTGCTGAGCAACCGCTGCTCCCACAGATGCTCACAGAGCCGAGCCGTGTGCCTGTCCCAGCCTCACCAGGGCCTGAGGGGCGCCAGCTCAGGTCCTCGAACGTCACGCTCTAGGCAAGTTGGGGGTCTCCAGTCTAACGGAGGAAACTGAGAAACTGACGAGGGGGCGGCATCAGACCGCATCCAGGAGCCTGCATCTCCCCTGGGTCTATCCTATCAAGAGCCCATCACACCTGGGCTGCAGGGGGCCGGGGGCCGCTGGCTGGGGCGTGGGGGTGCTGGTCAGAGAACTGCAGGTGTCCACGCGCCTGCATAGAAGGCCCCAACTCCTTCATAGGAAACCAGGCAAGGGAAGCTCCTCAGTCCATTAAAGACTATTCATCAAAAGCTGCAGCAAACGTCACACCGATTTTCGATATGATGACACTGTCCTCGAGATCAGGAATGGGACGAGGGTGACCACTGTCACTGCCCCGTCCAGCACGGGACTGGGGGCCCTGGCCAGTGAAGCAGAGACGGGGAGCATAACCGTGGGAAGAGGTCGAGGTATGACAGAATCCCACCAAGAACTATTCAACGCGACTCGGCAATCCAAAAACTCCCGAAAAACAAAAGTCCTGGGCCAAGTGGCTTCCCAGGTGAATTTTACCAAACATTCCAAGAAGAATTAACACCCAGCCTTCTCAAACTATTCCAGAAGTCGAAGAGGAGGGAGGGCCCCCGGAGGCCCAGGGCTACCCTGGCACCAGCTCCGCACACCAGGCGGGCCCTCCCCCGGCAGTGCTGGACGTACCTTGGGCAAGAACGTCCTCCTGCAGGCCTTGCCTCCATCAGTCCCAGCCGCCTGGAGAGCGGCAGCCTCAGAGGACAGCGCCAGGCCGGGGACGCTGCCGGGCCCAGCCTCGGACGTGTCTGCCAGCTGCACGGGCGAGTGGAAAATTCCCTCCTTGCCCTGGGCCAGCGGACTCTCACAGGGATCCGGGCACTTCTCCTCGGGGCTGGAGCCGTCGTCACTGGTCTTGGCGTTGCAGAGGGTCAGGGAACGGGAGATGCAGCGGAATTTTGTGGACTTTCTGCTCCGGGCAGAACGGCTGTGCGGCTCCATCCTCAGCGAGGCCGTGAAGACAGAAGAGGCCTTCCTCCTCTCCTGGTCTCTGGCCCTTGGGGGACGGGTGGTGACCGGACTGGGCCTGGCCACCCCTTCACGAGTCCCTGGAGGAGACAGGATACGGGAAGGAGCAATGTGACCCGCTGCTGCTGAGGGGGCCCGACTAGAGCCCTGGTGGTTATCATTCTCTCCATTCCCAGGCTCATCGAGGCCAGAGCTCCCCAGGCAGGGAAACTGAGGCACGGAGAAGGGAGGTGCACACCCAGAGCCACAGGGAGCCAGCGGGGGAGGGAGCCAGTGATCAGTCACGGGGGGGGATCTGTCCGTCAGATGAGTTCGTGCTTGTGGCAGATTTAAACTTAAAAGCCATTCTTCAAGCAAAAGTTTACAGAAAATCCAACCAGTAGAGCAGGTCAGAGGGCGAAAGGGAGCCTAAGTTGCACCTGTCTGTCCCCTTGCACTGCCCCTGGTGACCCCATAGCATCTTCAAAGACACCCCAGGATTCATGGAGCCCGTGTGGAGACGCTGACACCTGTGCCCTCCACGCCCAGCGAGGAGCCCATGACTGGGAGGGTTGGGAGCCTCGCCTGACACTGAGCCACCGGGTTGATGATGGGAACTGAAGGCCTGTGCAGGCCCCTGGCAGTGCCCGTCCCTGGGCCTGAGGTCTCACAGGCCAGTGCCACTGTGTGTCCGAGGCCAAGGCCTCCTGCTCCGTCCCCACCTCCATCCCCACTGGATCAACCTCTCTCAGTCCAAGGGTCAAAGGCTGGTTCACACAGCAGGGTGACAGTTCCCTCAGCCCAGCAGGCACCACCCGGGGACCTAGTTTCCACAAGGCAGGCGGCAAAGGGGCCTGCGGCTGCGTCCAGTGCAGTTCTGACTCCCGCCCAAGCCGCAACACAGGCCTGCTGCCAGAACAGCACGTCGTGGACACTCTTGGCCCAGGGGTCCTGTTTCTGCACACCCAGTCCCGACTGCAGAAACACAGAGACCCCCCCAGCACCTCATTAAACAATGGCCCTCGCAGAGCCACCCCCTAGAGAGCATTTCTTCTTAAAACACGCCTGCTTCCCCGGCCGGCGTGGCTCAGCGGTTGAGCATCGACCTGTGATCCAGGAGGTCGCGGTTCGATTCCCAGTCGGGGCACATGCCCTGGTTTCGGGCTCTTTGATCCCCAGCAGGGGGCGAGCAGGAGGCAGCCGGTCAGAGACTCTCATCATTGATGTTTCTCTCTCTCCCTTCCTCTCTGTGAAATTAATAAAAATATATATTTTTTAAAAAGAGTGAGTGGTTCCCCGACCCACAGGGAGCAAGGAGTCCGCTGGGACAGGAAACGGTCACGGGGCCCTCGCCTGAAGCAAGCGGAGGAGCCGGCAGGCAGACAGCAGGCTTCCCGTCTGCCCCGCGCCCACTGGTAAGGAGGAGCCTGCGGGCCGCGGGGAGGCCTCCTCGGCGCCGTTGCCTTTCTCCCACCCTCTCCCTTCCGTTTGNCTTCTGCACACCCAGCCCCGACTGCAGAAACACAGAGACCCCCCAGCACCTCATTAAACAACGGCCCTCGCAGAGCCACCCCCTAGAGAGCATTTCTTCTTAAAACACGCCTGCTTCCCCGGCCGGCGTGGCTCAGCGGTTGAGCATCGACCTGTGATCCAGGAGGTCGCGGTTCGATTCCCAGTCGGGGCACATGCCCTGGTTTCGGGCTCTTTGATCCCCAGCAGGGGGCGAGCAGGAGGCAGCCGGTCAGAGACTCTCATCATTGATGTTTCTCTCTCTCCCTTCCTCTCTGTGAAATTAATAAAAATATATATTTTTTAAAAAGAGTGAGTGGTTCCCCGACCCACAGGGAGCAAGGAGTCCGCTGGGACAGGAAACGGTCACGGGGCCCTCGCCTGAAGCAAGCGGAGGAGCCGGCAGGCAGACAGCAGGCTTCCCGTCTGCCCCGCGCCCACTGGTAAGGAGGAGCCTGCGGGCCGCGGGGAGGCCTCCTCGGCGCCGTTGCCTTTCTCCCACCCTCTCCCTTCCGTTTGTCTACCTCCTTCCACATCCCCCGTCCCAAGGGTGAGGAAGTCCCAGGACCAGAGGCTCCCAGGGCTGCCGAGCAAGGACAAGCGACACGCCGTCCCCACCCTAACTCCCAAGGCTGCTTCGCCCTCACCTCCCCGGGCAGCCAGGCAGCATGTGATTCCTGCCCAGGGGATTCCGGCTGCGGCTCCAGCAACCAAGACCCTCCCCCAACTCCCCTCAGCAAGGCTGGCCTCCCGTCTCAGCTAACGTCCACCTGGTCAGAGCGGCTGCCCAGGGCACATTCACTCACCTGGGCCCATCTGCCTCCCTGCTCACAGCCCCACCTCCCTGGCTTCTCTCTCCTGCCGCCCAGCAGGGACCACAGCACCACTGACTCCAGGACAGCCCGGGGCCGGGCCGGGGNGCTGGGGCCGGGGTCGGGGCCGGGCCGGGGGCTGAGCCCACAGAGAATGAGAAACAGACCTGCTTCTCCCACAGAGACCAGTNCCCGGGGCCGGGCCGGGGGCTGAGCCCACAGAGAATGAGAAACAGACCTGCTTCTCCCACAGAGACCAGTCTCTCTCCACGTCAGGTCCCGGGCTCTGATGGCTGAGATGCTGTGAGTCAGACCCTGCCCTCACCAACTGCTTTAGGCAGGTGACTCAGGGCGAGCGTGTCCACCCTGGCACAGGTTTGCCAGGGCTCCCGACCGCAGCCATCTGATGCCTCTGCAGGAAAAGGCTGGCTCCAGAAGAGGGGCTGCCAGCGCGGGGAAGCTCGGAGTGAAGTCCACCATCTGCTGGGCTGGCAGAGGACACCTGGGGGCCAGCCCGGGACCCTATCAAGGCAGCAGCTCGGCGGGCAGGGGGAATGAACATTGCTCGGTGCCTACAAAGTGCCTGGCACACGCAGGAGCTTTACGTAAAGGCCGGCGCACACAATCCTGCTGTCAGCCTCGGAAATACCGTCGAACCCATTTCCCAGGGGAAAGAGTCGCTACACAGGAATTCATCAAGCACCCAGTTCACTCCAGGCCAGTGACCCTGGGGCCCGGCCCTTCACGGGCTCAGCAAGCTCACCCAGCCAGCTGGTCACCAAACCAGGGTCCACTCAAGAGTCGCCTGACACGAAGGCCCAGGCCCTCTCCAGGGCTCCATGCTGCCCATCTGCGCCAGGCTGTCCCTAAAATAACAAGCTGACCCCCAGGACTTGACCCAGCTCAGTGGTTCTCAGTCTGGTCCACGTGTGGGCACAAACGGCATCGCCTGCTAGAAATGCACATTCTCAGGTGGCTCCCTGTCCTCCCAAACCAGGAGCTCTGACGACGGGGCTGCACTGTTTCCCGACCCAGGGACTGGCTTACACACAGCGCAGGGACAGGCACCTCTGTCTGTCCCGTCAGGGTTATGGCATGTGACGATGGCGCTGACCCGTGTGTCCTTGGAGAGCCTAATCTGAGCGTGGCATTTGACCCATCTGCCCCGACGACCGTCCCACACACAGCACTGCCGAGCACGGCCTGTGTGGCCGTTTGTGTGCCCACGGGGACTTCTGTGCGGCCTCTCGTCTAAAGAACGGAATGCTCTCTGACGCCCACCATCCAATGTTTCAGGGCTTCTGGGGGCTCTAATGAGGGAGTAGGTGTCCCCTGTAGGAGCCCTTGGAATTTCATGCGAGGCTGTGGAGACCCGCTGCTGCTGGGGGGTCCAGGCCATGGTCCCGGGGGGGCACACTGGAGACAAACCTGCCTTTGTCAGTGGGTGTGGAGTGTGGGGACAGTGCCACGCCGCAGGGGCTGGAGTGCAGAAGACAAACCTCTCAAGGGCGGGGCGTGTGGGCCTTGCTCCTGCCTCCTGCGCTGCTCACCCCAGCCTCTCTCAGTCCCCCGGGCACAGTGCAGCTGGGGCTCAGGCCCCGTCTTCCACCCCAAGGCTTGGCGGCTGGGCCTGAATCAGTTCCTGCCTCTCCCTCTGTTATCAGATGACATGGTCTTGCTCACTCTCAGAAGGTGAATTCACTCTGAAGAAGAACCTAAAGAGGCCGCACCAAGACACATCATAATTAAAATGACAAAGGTTAGAGACAAAGAGAACCTTAAACGCAGTCAGAGAGAAGCAGTCCCTTAGCTGCAAGGGAGCTCCCATAAGACTGTCAGCTGATTTTTCAACAGAAGGGAGTGGCAGGAAATATTCAAAGTGATGAAAAGCCAGGATCTACAACCAAGATGACTTCTGCCCGAAACCAACCGCTTAGAATAAAAGGACAGAAAAGAGCTTCCAGACAAGCAAAATACTGAAGGTTGCGTTCACCAACACAAACCAGTATTACAAGAAATGTTCAAGGGTCTTCTTTAAGAAGAAGGAAAATATATCAAAAATGTGAATAAAATGGCAGTAACAGCAGGGGATGCTAATGCCCCATCGACATCACTGAGTAGATCTTCCAGACAGAAAATCAACAGGGAAACAGTGGCCTTAAATGACACATTAGACCAGATGGATTTAATTGATATTTTTAGAGCATTTCACCCAAAAGCAGAATATACATTCTTTTCAAGTGCAGATGGAACATTCTGCAGAAGAGACCACATGTTAGGACTCAAAACAAGTCTCAATAAATTTAAGAAGACTGAAATCATATCAAGCATCTTCTCTGACCACAATAAGAAAACCGAAAAACACACAAGCACATGGAGTCTAAATAACATGTTACAAAGCAATGAACAGTTAACAACACCGTCAAGGAGTGAATCGAAAGAGACCTTGAGACAATGAAAAAGGAAAACACAACCACCCCAAATCCGTGGGATCCCACAGCAAAAGCAGTTCTAGGGGAGAAAGTCACAGCAACACAGGCTTAACCTCAACAAACGAGAAAAGCTGATAAATCAATACGGAGGCATCACGACTGACTCAGGGCACAGTTTGCATCAGGGCTCTCCCTGTGCTGCATGTCCCAGGGGCTGTGACAGATGCAGAATGTCACGTTTCCAC